CAGTGTTAGTAAAGGTGTGGAGAAAAGGGAACCCCGGTGGGAATGCAAATTGGTATAGTCAATGTAGAAAACAATATGGAGGTTTTTCAAAAAATTAAAAATAGAAATACTATGAGACCCAGTAATCCACATCTGGGTACTCACCCAAAGCAAACAAAAACACAAATTCCAAAAGATGTATGCACCCCTATGTTTGCTACAGCATTATTCACAAGAATCAAGATATGGAAGCAAGCTAAGTGCCCATCAACACATGGATAAAAAAGATGTGGTATATATTTTTTAAAGGAATATCACTCATTCATAAAAAGTAATAAAATCTTGCCATCTGGGACAACTGGATGGACCTAGATGGTATTATGCCAAGAGAAATAAGTCAAACAGAAAAGATAAATGCTACAACAACAACCAAAACAAATACCAAAAACAAAACAAACAAAAAACAGAAATAGACTCATAAATACACAAAACAAAATGGTGGTTGTCTAAAGGGAGGGGGAAGATGGAATGGGTGAAATAGGTGAAAGGAAAAAAAAAGTACAAACTTCCACCATAGAAGAATTAAGTCATGGGAATGGAAAATACAGCACAGGGAATACGGTCAATAATATAATAACTTTGAATGGTGACAGATGGTCAATATAATTACTGTAATAAGCATTTCATAATCTATATAAATGTCAAGTCATTATGTTGTTTACCTGAAACTAACATAAAACTGTATGTCAACTCTATTTCAGTTAAAATATATATATCAAAACAAAACAAAACAAAACAACAAAAAAAAAACAGAATAACTCACAGGTACAGAGAACAGATTAAGTGGTTACCAGAGGTATGGATTGAGGGGGGATGAAATGGTTAAAGTTTGTCAAAAGGTATAAACTTCCTGGGGATCTAACATACAGCATGGTGACTATAGTTAACAATACTGTAGTATATGTAAAAGTTGCTAAGAGAATAAATCTTAAAAGTTCTCATCACATGAAAAAAAAATTTCTGTAACTGTGTACGGTAGAAGACGTCGTTCACTGTAGTTATTGTGGTGATTATTTTGCAATCTACACAAATACTGAATCATTATGTTATATACCAAAATTAATACAATGTCATATGCCAACTATACCTCAATAAAAACAATTTCTTTAATTAAAAAACGTTTTAAACCATTATTGCAGAAGTCTGAAAAGATACTAAATCAGAATTCTATCAGCCTATAATATTTTAAACATTATGCCAAAGATCAGCCTCTCTAAAATAAATCTAAATAGAAACTCTACTATGATCACTTTAGAAGCAAAATTCTTAATTACATCAGGGTTCCTGAGGCTAATCTAAATTGATCTACTTATATACGGACAGGTAAAGCTCCAGGGTTTATTTATTTTTGTTTTTGTTCTTCCTTAAATTGATTTATTAAGACTATCCAAAATCACCAGGTGATAACTTCTTAAAATGTCAACTTGGCTGGGCTAAAGTGCCCAGATACTTAACTGAACACTAATTTAGATGTTGCTATGAAAGTATTTTGCAGATATAATTAAATCCTCTAATCCCTTTAAGTAAAGGAGATTATCCCAGATAATCAGAGTGGGTATAACTGAATCCTTTGGAAGGCCTCTAAAAGCAAGGCTGAGGTTTCCCCAGGAGAGAAAAAAAAATTCTGCCTGTGGACTTGGCAGAATTTTTGCCCATGCCCATGGGATTTCTTATCCTGCTGATCACCTTCTCTTTCCGTTAGCTGGTCTCCCAGATTTCAGACTTCCTTTGACAGTCTCTCACAATCATGCAAGACTACTCCTTGTAATAAATTTCCAGACATTATATATATGTATTTTCTACTACTTCTGCCTCTCTGGTTGCACTCCCAACTTAATCACACCACAGTATAAAATATGAATTTAGAAGTAATACTTCTTATATTTAGTTGGGAAAATATTTTATATGTGCAGATATAGATATAGATATAGATATATATGAAGATATATATATAAATCCCTTTAAAGACTGCAGAGTGGGGGCACCTGCGTGGCTCAGTGAGTTAAGCCTTGCCTTTGGCTCAGGTCATGATCTCAGGGTCCTGGGATCAAGCCCCAGATCAGGCTCCCTGCTTGGCGGGGAGCCTGCTTCCCCCTCTCTCTGCCTGCCTCTCTGCCTACTTGTGATTTCTCTGTGTCAAATGAATAAATAAATAAATAATCGAAAAATTGCAGAGTGGCACAACACTGAGTCATCTTCTAACAGGAGCTACTATTGTTCTACAAGGGCAATGTAAGGGACTAACCATTTTTTATCTAGATCACAAAGAATAGGTCTGGGAATTCTTTGTGAGTTCTTTAATCTTGAAGATCCTTATGTAAGAAGTACTAGGAAATGTGCAAAACTTACTAAGAATTTTCTCTAGTTCAATTATTGTAACAGTTTTTTTTTGTTTTTTTTGTTTTTGTTTTTGTTTTTTTTTTTTGCATTTAGAAGGTTGCTAAACACCCTAGGGAATGAATTCTACATCCTGAATTATGATGTGGCACTATCGTCACACTAGTAAGGGGACATAACTTAAAAGGGCATTCCAGCATTAGACAATGCTGGAATGGTCTAATGACAATCATAATCAAGACGATGACATCATAATCAAGACGACAATCAAAGACAAGGACAATCATAATCAACAATACCAGAACCTTACCAGAGAGAACACGTACTTTTTCCACAAAACATGTACCCAAGAATTACAGTTCAACTTGACACAAACTGGCTGTTCTTTAATTCTGATCAAGCAAAATTCCCAGCAAGCCTCAGCAGTAGTAGGAGCAGCAGGAGCAATTCAGTCTAGTACAGTACTGTAGCCTTACATAACACTCACTTTCCCAGGAAGTCCCAAACAAACCCCCCTGACGGTGCAGGGACAGAAACCTGGCGTGGAAGATACAAACTGCGGGAGACTGGCTTTCTGAGAAACAGCATGGCCAAGAGGGGAGACACACAGAGACCAAAACCCCAAAGGATTAGGACCATGATAATACAAATTAAAAGAAAGGTGGAGAAATTCAAATGATAAATTATGGGGAGACAGACACCCACACATTAGGAAACAGTGGAATGGCAACACAAGAAGCAAATGGTTAGTAAAGAAACATGGCAGCCACACACATGCACCTCAGTACCAAACAGGGGAACAAGAGGCATAATCCTAACTGTCTGACTATTATTCAGATCTTAAACTATATAGCTGAGTAACAAATTATGAATCCAGGAGCAAAAACTGAGTTTTAAAAACTTTCCCTTTTTTGGTAGCCAAGAAACTTTGTGTCAAATCCTAAAACAAAATGACGATGCTGCCAGAGGCTAAAACTGTGCAGTGCTTTTCAACCTTTTAAGTTATATTCTGTGGAAAGAGTAGATCACTTACAATTTTCTCAAAATGTAAGAAATACAGTGGTTAATAAAAGCAATTTGTGTGCTTTGGGTATAAAATATAGATTTAATCCTATTTCTTACTGTCTTTCAAGTCACACCCAACTCCAAAAAACAGTATTAGGTCCAAAAATGAATCAAGAAGTTTTTCAAGCAAGCTGCCTGGAATAACAAGCAGTAATTTCAATGTAGATTTCTAATACAAGAAAACAAACCAAAAAATGAAACATGATCAAAGAATTTCTCTTCTGAAATATTAAAATATTTGGTGGGAAGTCACTAATCCATCAAAAGTATTACATTTTAAAACCTGTGCAGCACTGCTGATTTCAGGCCAACACAAAAACAGAGAGGCATGTGTTCATGTGAGTATGTAAGTGTGTGTGTGCTGGGGGACAAACTGCAATACAAACATGAAAAAGGGCATACAAAAATTCAATAATCTCATTTTAAGACGGGTAATTTTTAATTCTGATCTAAAGATTCTATCCATTCGTCTTATCCAGAACCAGAAAATATGAATAGAGTTAATATCAAAAGTAAGAGGAATCTCATGAGTATGCAATCAGTATAGTGAAGAAAAATTGTGAGGGTTAGACTTTATTGTTTTAGTTTCTTGGGAACAGAATAATAGAAAAATCAATTCCACAGGGGATTATCAAATCTCCCAGTCACCCAAAAATTTTAAACTTAATAAACAACTTATGAAAGTCGTTTCTTATTTCCCAACCTTCAAGAACATGAAAATGAAATATTCCTAAGAATCAGCTCTAAGAAGCCACATAGGTTAATGACTTCATTCTGTCACTGTTGTCTCTATTTAGAAGAATATAGGTGATTAATGAAGTTCTACTAGAAGAACTACTTCTATGTACTTATAAATTTATGTTAAATACATCCTGTAAAAGAAGAGATCAAAAGGCATTTACTTAATCTTTAGTATAAAACACCCTAATTATGAAAGAAAGAAAGATAGATTCCAAGAAAGCTGTACGGCTAGATCTGTAAACACAGCTCATTTTGAAGAATTCAAAGTCAAGACCCATAAAAATCATATCCAAGTCACTTAAATTATCCTCAAAATGTCTCTTCTTCTAAATTTGACCTAGGGACTGATGTAACAGCCGGCTTCTCCACAATACGAACTGTGTAAAGTCTAAAAATTCACAGCCAAAAGGAGCATCGGCTCAATAAAAAAAATCTAAGCCAATGAAAAAATATTACCTCCCTGAACTTGAGGTTCATTTGCTCTGTGGATAATAAAGTAATTAAAAAGCAAGTAGCTACTTGCACTCTCATGATTAGCTGGTAGAAAAGTTTAACTTCTCTACTGATGAATACTTTCTTACTTTCCAATCAATGATGCTGATGTCCACAACTTCTTAATATATCCCCATTTGTTGTTGCCTTTCAGATGCTGCAGCAATAAATTTACAATGACTCGGAATAAAAAGTTAATAAAAATAATAATACAAGAACCTAAAGTCCAAGAGGCAGATATACCAAACAAGTATTTACTATGTTTTAAAACCATACTTTAACCTTTCTAACATAGTAAATCCACCATTCAGCTTGCCTATCCTTACCTTTCCAACTCTGCGATCTTCTTATCTTTGTCATTCTTCTCATTTTCCACTTCCTTCAAGATTTCCAAGAGGCGGTCAACTTCTGCCTGGGCCTTGCTAGATTCATCTTTATATCTGGCAATCTCTCTCTCCAACTGCTGTATTCGGTCACTCATCTCTGGACTGGCTCTGGCTTCCAGTGTTGCCTCATGTGCCTTCAAAGAAAAGTGTTCAAATACTATCAGACATATATAGTGGCAGCAGGCAAACCATGTCCCAAAGGACCATCTGTATTTCAATTTAAATAGAGAATTATCAAATATCTAATAGCTAATCTTCAATTTATGAAGTTTTTCCCTGCTTAAATATTACATAGACAAAATATTAGTAATAACTTGAGAAATAATTATCATGGATTTCAAATGGATTTGTGTTTAGATGTACTACTGTACATATCTGAATATTAGGCCAAAAATCATCATATGACAAGACACAGTTTTTTTTTAGTCTAAGTGAGACATTCAGACAAGCCATTAGACTGCTATTCATCTGTTACTGATCTTCCTCAAAAAGGCATTGCCAGAGATTCACTGTTGATGTTATTATAACCAATGTCAAGGCTGAGCTCTAATTCCCACTTGACCCTTACTTCCCTTCCCTTTTCCTATATACTGCTTTACCAAGCATGTATGAATCATGCTTATGTATTAATGAAATATTCATATTCATACATGTAGGACTACCCTGCTCTGCGGGAAGCCTGCTTCTCCCTCTCCCACTCCCCGTTTGTGTTCCCTCTCTTGCTGTCTCTCTGTCAAATAAATAAATAAAATCTTTAAAAAATATATTAAAGGGGTACATATATATTGCTAGGAAATACTTCAGAAAGCACTGATGCAAAATACCTTAAGTAAAAGAGAAATGTTCCCATAAATTGGGCTAAATGCTTTGTCAAAGCAAAAGCTGTACTTCTAAGACCAAAACCTTTACCAACATCTTTTGTTTCAGGTTTAATCAGTTAGGAAAATCCAGTTACTAACAGTGGCCTTTAAAAATGATTCCACTGGGGCACCTGGGCGGCTCAGTGGTTAAGCCTCTGCCTTCAGCTCAGGTCATGATCCCAGGGTCCTGGGATCGAGCCCCGCATCGGGCTCCCTGCTCAGCGGGATGCCTGCTTCCCCCTCTCCACTCCCCCTGCTTGTGTTCCCTCTCTCACTGTCTGTCAAATAAATAAATAAAATATTAAAAAAAAAAAAAAATGATTCCACTGGCAGACATGTATTTTAATGTGTCAGCAAAATTCTAACCTAAACTGGTATGGTTAAAAGCCACAACAGAGTAAAATCTAGAGGAAAGAGAGGCAGCCCTAATGAATGAATGAACTCATTTAAGAATAGAACAAGGCAAAAGCAGCAGAAAAGCAAACACTTCCCAAGCCTGGGAGAAAATTTTGATCTTATAAAAACTTTCCCACTTTGTATTCATCCCAATATTCTTTAGAAAGGAGTCATTTTTAAAAAATCTAGAGTTCCTACTTGAGGAAGGGATAGAGAAAGTCAAGTGTGTTCATTTTCTACAAAGTAGTAAAAAAACCACTCATACAAAATACAGAAAAAACACCAACCAGGACTTTCTTTTTTTTTTTTTTTAAAGATTTTATTTATTTATTTGACAGACAGAGATCACAAGTAGGCAGAGAGGCAGGCAGAGAGAGAGAGGAAGGGAAGCAGGCTCCCTGCTGAGCAGAGAGCCCGATGCGGGGCTCGATCCCAGGATCCTGGGATCATGACCTGAGCCGAAGGCAGAAGCCTTAACCCACTGAGCCACCCAGGAGCCCCTCAACCAGGACTTTCTGGCACTACTCTGTCACCTCACTTACTGGTCTCAACGGGGGGCTTAATACTATTTCAGGATCCTAAAGCGGGGGAAAGTGTCAGTAAGAAAAGAAGAAAAAAACATAGAAGGAAATGGTATGGTGTAAGAAAAGAACAAGAAAGAGAATGAAAAGTATAAGATAAAAATATGTATTTTTAAAAACTTGCAACAACAAAATCCTCCAGAAAGAGCTATTCCCCCCCCAGAGGAAAAAAAAGAATTCAGCACTTTTTACAGTTCTAGTAACTCAGAAGTTCAATTTCAAGGCTTTCCTTAATAATTCTGAGGTTAGGGAGCGCCTGGGTGGCTCAGTGGGTTAAAGTCTCTGCCTTCGGCTCAGGTCATGATCCCAGGGTCCTGGGATCGAGCCCCACATCGGGCTCTCTTCTCAGCAGGGAGCCTGCTTCCTCCTCTCTCTCTGCCTGTCTCGCTGCCTACCTGTGATCTCTATCTGTCAAATAAATAAATAAAATCTAAAAAAAATAATAATAATAATAATTCTGAGGTTATCATCCCAAGCTGAAGGCATAAAATATGGAAATACACATACAGGATATAAAGTCCTAAGGTAGAAGTATTTCTGTTCCATTTCTATTCTGTTCTACTTTTGTGCTAGTACCGTACTGTTTTGATTACTATAGCTTTGTAATAGAACTTGAAGTCCAGAATTGTGATGCCTCTAGCTTTGCTTTTCTGTTTCAAGATTGCTTTGGCTATTTGCGATCTTCCATGATTCTATACAATTTGTAGGACTGTTTGTTCTAGTTCTGTGAAAAATGCTGGTGGTATTTTTTTTTTAATATTTTATTTCTTTATTTGAGAGAGAAAGACCACAAAGGTGGGGAGGGACGAAGGGAGAGGAAGAGTCAGACCCTCTCCCTGCTGAGCCGAGAGCCCCCTGTAGGGCTCAATACCATGACCCTGGGATCATGACTTGAGCTGAAAGCAGATGCTTAACCACTTGAGCCACCCAGGTGACCCTGCTGGTGGTATTTTCATAGGCACTGCATTAAATGTATAGATTGCTTTGGGTAGTACAGATGTTCTAACAATAGTTGCTCTTCCAATCCATAAGTATGGGATGTCTTCCCATTTCTTTGTGTCATGGGTTCATTCCTAAGGATCTTAACTGTTGTTGGTACAACTATAAATAGGACTGATTCCTTAATTTCTTTCTGTTGCTTCATTATTGGTGTATAGAAATACAACAGATTTCTCAACGTTTATTTTGTATCCTTGAGACTTTACTGAATTCATTGATCAGTTCTAGCAGTTTTTTCGTGGAGTCTCAGATTTTCTATACGAACTATCACATGATCTGCAGATAGCAAAAGTCTGACTTCTTTCTTACCAGTTTGGATGCCTTTTTTTCTTTTTGTTGTCTGATTGCTACAGCTACTACTTCCAGTGGTACGTTAAAGAACTGCAGTGAGTGTAGACATCTATGTCTTATTCCTGACTGTAGAAGAGGAAAAGCTCTCTGTTTTTCCTCACTGAGGATAATATAAGCTGTAGGATTTTTGTATAAGCCTTTATTACACTGAGGTATACTCCCTCTAGATCTACTTTGTTAAGGCTTTTTATTCATGAATGGATGTTATACTTTGTCAAATGCTTTTTCTCCATCTACTCAATTGATCATATGGTTCTTTTTGTTAACGTTGTGTATCACATTGATTGATTTGTGAATGCTGAACCACCCCTGCAAACCAGGAATAAATGCTACTTGACTGGGTGAATGGTTTTTTTTAATGCACTGTTGTGCGGTTTGCTAGTGTTTTATTAAGAATTTCTGCATCCATGTTCATCAGGGATACTGGCCTGTAGTTCTCTTTCTTCATGGAGTCTTTATCTGGTTTTGGTATCAGGGTAATGCTGGCCTCATAGAATGAATTTGGAAGTTTTCCTTCCTTCTCTATTTTTTGGAATAGTTTGACCAAAAAAAAGAGAGAGAGAAAGAGAAATAAGTATGGTGGGGATGTACAGAAAAGAGAACTCTTATACACTACTGGTGGAAATGGAAAACAGTATGAAGCTTCCTCAAAAAGTTCAAAACAGAACTACCATATGATCCAGGAATTCTGCTTCAGAGTACACATCCAAAGGAAACAAAATCACTATTGAAAAGATTATCTGTACTTCCATATTCATTGCAGCATTATTTATAGTAGCTAAGACAGGAGTCAACCTAAACGTCCACTGATGGATGAATGGGTAAAGAAGTCACGGTACATATACAGAATGGAATACTATTAACCCATTAAAAAAGAAGGAATTCCTTCCATTTCTAACAACATGGATGAAGCTTCAGGGTATTAGGCAAAATGAAGTATGTCAGAGAAAGAGAAATATTATATGCTCTCACTTATATATGGAATCTAAACAATTGAACTTAGACAAATAGAGAACAGATGGTTGGTTACCCGGGCAGGGAGAGGAGTATGTGAAATGGATCAAAGTGGTCAAAGAGTATAAACTTCCAATTATAAAACAGTAAGTTCTCAGAATGTACTACACAACATGGTGACTATGGTTAACAATACTGTTCAATTTGCAAACTGCTGAGAGAGTAAATCTTAAAAGTTCCCACAAACAAAAAATAAAATAGTTTCTATATAAAAAAAAAAACAAACAAAAATAAATAAATCTACAAATAAGCTATAAAACAAAACAAAACAGATGCTAATATAGAAAACAAAGACAACACAATCCTAGGCCTGATAATACAAAATAGTCAAGTTCATTTGACATCTAGTAGAACTAAAAAAGCTATGTAAGACGTGTACTGAGGGTGCCTGGGTGGCTCAGTCACTTGCGCCTCCAACTCTTGATTTCAGCTCAGGTTGTGATCTCAGGGTCCTGGGTCAAGCCCTGCATCAGGCCCCCTGCTCAGCGGGGAGTCTGTTTATTTCCCTCTTCCTCCACCCCTCCCCAGAGTCATACAGATATGCACCCCACCAATAAATAAATAAATAAATAGCCATGTAGGTTGTTAATTTGACCTCTGTGATACAATCTTAAATTCCCTGAGATAGGTAACCTGCTGATTTCATAAATATTTATGTGTTAGTTAATAAAACTAAAGTTGATTCCCAGATATAGGCAATAATTCTATTTTTATTTTAGGTTTTAGATGTTATTCTAAATAGCAAAATTCACATATATACCTTCATGAAACAAGAATGTATAGGCCTGCTCCATATGAAAAACTGCTGCAACTTCAGCTCCAACATGTAAAAAGTCTGTAAGTCATCACTACCATTTTTAAAACAAGAAAAAGTTAAAAAACTGAAAATCAATTACTTTTCTGGGACCCATCAGAGAACTAAGGTCAAAGGGC